AAGCGCAGAAAGGCTTGTCCTGGCCTGCCTTGGCCAGGACGCCGCACGGGTTTCTTCCGCTGTAGAACTACCCCCGTGACAACAAGGCAGGAACAGTTTCAGGGCATTTCTGTAGAATATAAGTATGTGGAAGATTGATCTTGACGGAATGAGAGTTAATGTGTCTAAAATCACAGTAGAACAAACATAATGAGAGTAAATTCTCACCACTGACTCAGTGGTGAGCATTGACAAGTAGTAATGGTATTTTTGTAGAGAGTTTCTAATATCATTTCATGAAGAGAGTGTAGATTGGAGAAGTTGAAATTTTGATCTCTAGTCTATTAGTTTTTTTTTTTGAAAGCAGTCTCTTAGGTTGTTTATGGATGACCAATGGTGATCTGGGAGCATTATTCGATAAACAAATTTAATGTAACCAGTTCTTAATAGAAGAAGAAAGATCTCTTGCAACAATTGATAGAGTTAGCTTAAGAGCAAATTAGCCAGTTCTTAATAGAAGTTAACTATAGAGAATAAATGAAGAAGATTAAACATTATTGCTGAAGCAGAAAATAAATTTAATATGAATAAGACGAATAGTGGTGTGAATAGCTTTAGGAGCCTTTATTATAGTCTCCTAAGATGGCATTGGGTAACCGATCCCTGGAAAGCAAAAGTCCTCTGAAAAAGCTTTGTGCTCAAACTTTGGAAAGTTTGCTTTTATGCTTATGCACATCTCTGAATGCATGGTGGAATTGTTTGTTGATCTGAATGCTGTGACTTCCGAGAGATGTGTGTTTTACAATTTTACCCTTCATAATGAATCTGTTTGGTACTTTTGAATCTTGTTGTCACTGAACATTATAATTTGAATAAAATAGTGAATTATTAACAACAGTAAAATAAAAATAATTAAAAATAGTAAAATAATAAAAATTAAAATTAAATATATATATATATATATATATGAATAAGTAAATTTAAATGACAAAAATTAATAACATATTTAATGATTAAATAATGCATACGTTTAATGACAAAATTGGAAAGAAAAATCTGCATCAAGTAAAAAAAATTAGAATGAGTAATTTGAAAATAACTAAAATATTTAAAAAACAACAAAATATGAAAAATATTAATACTTATATATAAATGAAAAAATATAATAATATGTTCATTGATTAAGAAGAATAAATAATTATTCATAACAATGATAAATAAAACTTATGCAAAATATATTTATTGATAACAAATATTTAAAAATACAAAAAAAGTAAAAAAAAAATATGAATAATTTGAAATAAATGGTAAAACCTTATAACCATACTTACTAGTAAAATATTAAATACATTTAATAGTAAAAAATGGTGAAAATATGATAACGCCCCTAAAAATGAAATTGCCCAACATTTTTTGAAAAATATGGTAACTTTATTAATGAAACAGGAAGTACATGAGAAGATGTACACAGAAATTACAACTCAAAGGTTAAGTAGGAAGAAAGCTATCACTAAACAAGAAATCCCTGTGAGCACCAACTTTTGCTAGGCCATCCAGAGCAAAGTTTAGCTCCCTAGGGATCCAGCCCAACTGTGCATTTAAGTTAGAGAGGATATCTCTAGCTTCAGCCAAAAAATGAGCTAAAGCCCATGGGCCACTACCAGGGTCAGCTAGCCACTTGATGGTATTTGCCGAATCTCCTTTTATGAGAATGTTCTGATAGCCCAGATATCTTGCAATTCTGATTGCAATTAGTGCTGCCATGACTCCGGCCTTTGTTGAAGAGGCTATCCCAATCGGTCCACTGAAAGCCCAATTAATTTAATTATACCCAAAATAATTAAATTATCAGAGTTTGTAAGCATTTATATATAACCAAATATTCAAGTGACACAAGCAACATACATAAATATGTAAAGTACAAGTAAAATATTAAATACATTTAATAGTAAAAAATGGTGAAAATATGATTGTGTCCCTAAAAATGAAATTTCCCAACATATTTAAATTATCAAACTTCATAAGCATTTAGATATAACCATTCGTGTAGATACCCCTACACAAAGTTCAAAGGAAAATATTCAATTGACATAGGCAGCATACATAAATATGTAAAGTACTATCTGCTAAAATAGAAAAACATCCAACTAGATAAGGGAAAATATAGAGGTCACCACATAATAGTTCACCTCTAGTAAATGAAAGATCCTAGGAATCCTACAAGTACCCCTACGAGAAACTTGAGCAATGCATATACAAATGACTGGAACTGGGTTGGAGGCATGATTTTTCTAACATGTTGCATAGTTTTTCTTTAGATATTTCCCTTTCATTTCTATTAAATAATCATTCATGTGTATGGAATGCATGCTCAACCTCTTCTTTTGAAGCATAAAAATGGTAGGAACACTCACTATACCCTACCACTTGCATTTGGCATTCAGGCCATATGTCATAGATTCATGGAACTCTTGCCCCCAAACACAACATAGTACTTGTATGTTCTCATCCTGTAATGCATGCATATAGAGTACAAGGTGCTTTAAATACAAATCATGTGACCATAATAACATTAAAGTTTAACATGTAATGTAACAAAGTACAACAACAAAAACAAAGAAATTTTAGCTTCACAAAGAAAGAGTCTAATACACCATCCTAATCCCAATCCCCAATCCCCAATCACCTGTGGAATAGATTCTGGGATGTTTCTCACTTAGTGCATTCATGAATTTCTGGTCTGCTTGCATTTCCCCAATTCCTTTGGTACTTCCATGAATGTCCTTATTGACATCTTTAACCATGACTTCAGTCCCCTCATACTGCTGGAACAACTCATTCTTGATAGCTTCTTTCTTTAAAAAAAAATGTGTATCACAAAAGGCAAAAATTTCATCATTTGGAGGTTGAATCCATGCTCCCGGACACTACCAAGAGGCACCAGACTTCATTAATTAAGCTATACCCGTGTATTGAAGAAACGAGGGGAAAAAAACAAAATAACCTCAAGTTTCCATAACTCAAAGAACTATTATAATTCATTAACCACTAACTCAATTAACATGAATGCTCCTGGACACTACCAAGAGGCACCAGACTTCATTAATTAAGCTATACCCTTGTATTGAAGAAATGAGGGGAAAAAAACAAAATAACCTCAAGTTTCCATAACTCAAAGAACTATTATAATTCATTAACCACTAACTCAATTAACATGAAACTTGAACCTCAAATACTATGACTTGGCGACCCTATATGTGGGGCCCATTGGTCAAACTTTTGATTTTAACTTTGACTGTCCTAGAAATCCAGAAACAGTAACCTCCCAGCTCCCTTGAGTTCTTGGTGAAAGCCTTCTTGTAGTGTGATTGGCTTGAGATTTGGAGGGCCTCTTGAGCTTTAGTATCCAAATTTCAAGTTTATAAATGGTTGGATTATAAGAAATTACATATGAGATTTCTACCTGGAAGTTTGACTATTGATGAAAACCATCTGCATCAAAATTTTACTAACCGTATTAAAATGTACAATGTAGAGATGTATAACATATGGATTAGGAGTCTTGCCTCCCTAATCAAATGTATAAGGTTCCAAGGTCCTGTCGTTTCTCCTTTCTCGAAGCAGATTATAGATTTCGAATCTCCTTCTACAAGAATTCTCCAAAAATCTGATGTTTTAGCTAATCTATTGCTACCTGTAGTTTGTATCTAATAGAGTTTTCAACTCCAATCCTAAGACCGGTAAAGTATCTCTATCATCATCCCTGAAAGCACAACCTATACCAGACACCCCAGGATATTTTGATACTGCAACCATCCAAATTCAGCTTTATTTTTCTTTGTGAGGGAGGGGTCCAAGTTATGTTGGTTCTAATTCTTCCTGCTGAAGTTGAAATCACCAATCCATAGACTAGCTTTTGATGATATCATCTTTAGAAAAGCATGAAAATTATTCTCCTGTTTTCATCCAATGAATAACACTAATTGTGCTCAGGCCAATTAATCTATTTGGATTGATATTTTGTCTTGAAAGATATTAGCATTCTATTATTTCCAGATTGTCAATAATATGGATGCTCTAATGCACCTCCACAATATTTTTTTTTTTGATGGCTTACTTGAAATTCATTGAAAATTTAACACAACTCCACAATCCCCCATTTCTTTCTCAGGTAGAAAAAAGCTTTGTTAAAACAAAGTGTCCATCTCTGTTTGGGGAGACGACATAGCGTCAGTGTAAAGCAAAAAAAAAAAAAATTCCCAAATACTATTACAAAAGAACAGGAGAATAGTAGATGCAAGGTGGTTTCACAATTTTCCTTAGATAGCACATGTGTGGTTAGATGGCTGAACCAATACCTAGGAATGTTTTAGCATATTGTATATATCTCATGCTATTCCATATCTAATAATAATTACCAAGAAAAAGGATGCTTAGTACATGTGTATGTGTATGTGTGAAAATGTATAAAAGATGTGTTTATATATACACACATGCATATATACATATACCACACATACACATAAATACATGGAATCAAGTGAAAAAATATTCAAAGTTCCTTGGACTCCTTGTGGGCAGCCATCCAAGATGAGACTGTTCCAATGACATCCTCCCAAAATAAGGGATGTCTAGCGGTATAAGGAATTGAGGAGCAAGGGAGGACAACTGTCCAGGCAGTTGGGTCTCTTAATGGAGTTCTCATGAGTGGTGAAGGGATTGAGGCACAAAAGACGTTCCTTCATGGCTGTGTGATCAAGAGGATTAATGATACATGCCCTTGGCCCAAGGAGGTCAATTGTTGGGTGACAGTAGGCTGGTCTTGTACTCATAAACCAGGAGTTAGGAGGCTATGAAGAGGTTCATTCCTGTTTGTTCTTTTATTAGAAACACAACTTTTGCACGTTCTTGGTCATATCCAAAGGATATTCTATGGCCAAAGACTTACATCTCGAGAGATGGCGAGCCTCTTATGGCATGATGAAGGTTCCTACAGGTTATGTTTGGTGGGACAAAATCTTTGTTTGGTGCAGATCAACTTTTACAGATATTGGAAATGCATTGGAGGGGAGGGGGGATTTATTGAGGTAGATAGGAACAATGTTGGAGAGGTGCACTTTTGTTTGGAACAAAATAAGTTTTTTCTATTGATTACTGTTCAATTTTATTAAATTAATAAATGAATATGATATGCCATACATCCCAAAGTAAAGGCTAGCATGAAACCATCTGTCCCTCTAGCTTACATCACTAACTCATATTACAATTGAGACCAATACATTTGATCCCTACTCTCCCCTTGTTTGGCCAATGCATCAGCCAAACTATTTGCCACTCTTTGGACCCAATGAAAAGTTGAGTCCAAATTACTTGCCAAGTGTGTTATCTCTCTCAAGATATGCCTGTATTGCAAATATCCTTGGGTATTCATCAACATCCATCCCAACATCACCTTTGATTCATCTTCACCATTACATTTTTTAAGTTAAGTGGCTTTCACATACACAGCCCCTGTAACAATGCAAGTACTTTGGATCTAAATGAATCCTCAGTTCAAATTGGACTGGAGTATATTTCTAATATGGTTCCATTTTCATTCCTTAGCACCCCACAAATGCCAGATGAACAAAATGGGCCATATTCTTTCAGCACATGGGCCATATTCTTTTCTCTTTATTGATATTTGTCTTATATCGGTCTATTTGGATAGAAAGAGTGGTTTATTATTTAAGTCCACTAAGCCATGGATCATGTGATTAAATAGCATGAGTTCTTTCTTATCTCTTGATTGTCTGTCCCCAAAAGAATATGATGGAAGATCTTTTAAGTCTCCGAATGGTTGATCTAGAATATTGTTTGACACAAATGACAACATGAATCTAACCTGTACTGTGTCATTGTATAGTTGTATAGCGTTTCCTTGCCCTTCTTTTTATTTCCTCCCCCCCCCCAAAAAAAAAAAGAATAAAGAATAAAATGGGCTGAATCTCTAGAGAGGAGTTATAGGAATAAGTTAGTAAATTTTGATGTGTCTGATAATTTGATGATCATGCATACTCTAAATTTTATGATATGTCTTCTTGCTACTACTAAATAGAACTCATTTTCTAGTTTCACCTTCATTTCTCTACCAGGGAAGATTTCTGTTTGCTGCAGCTAGTGGCCGAGTCTTGGCCCGTTCATTTCATTCAGTTGTTCATGTTGGTTTTGAGATGATTGAAAAAACACTTGTTACTGGAAGCGTGTCTGCTCCTGAGTCACAACCAGAAATGACATGGAACCGCGCAGAGTTATCTGTGATTCTGGAGCATGTGCAAGCTCATGTAGCACCAACAGATGTTGATCCAGGGGCTGGAATTCAATGGCTACCAAAAATCCTTAGAAGCTCTCCAAAAGTAAAGCGTACTGGTGCTTTACTTGAAAGAGTGTTCATGCCTTGCACAATGTATTTTAGATATACAAGACACAAAGGTGGAACTGCAGATTTGAAGGTTTGGTACAACTTTCCTAGATCTATGTTGTTTTCTGGGGTTTTTCTTCTTCAAATACTGGTAGTTAACATGCACCATGCTATCAAGATTCATTAAACCTCTTTTGGATTTTCATTTTCTGCAGGTGAAGCCATTAAAGGAGCTCTCCTTCAACTCTCCTGATATAACTGCCACAATGACATCTCGCCAGTTTCAGGTTATGGTGGATGTACTGACAAATCTTCTTCTAGCACGTGCTCCCAGGTAAGGATATCCATCTTTACCCCTGTACTGTTTTGTTCTTATGATTTTCAATCTTTTTTTAAGCTACAACCTTTCCTAAACCTTGAAATCAAGGAACAATATGTTAGAAATTAGAGAAAGATTTAGGTTGTGTTTGGAAGTTGGTATTTCAACAGTGTTTTGGGTTGAGACATTGTCTACGCTTAAAACACAAGCACCATATTTCATGCTCGAGTCTTGTTCAGTGGAAAATGTGTGTTTGATGGGAAATGTGTTTCCTCCTGGAGCAGAAAACGTCAAATGGATGTTTCTGGAGACACCCCTGACATGGATTTCCATGTTATTGTTACAACTGTTTTGACTCAAAACAATTTCCAGCCAAAAAGAAAATTTTCTATGGAACTCTTAACACGTATGTGGCATCAACATAGCACTGTTTCTACCCAAAGCAACCATGGTACCAAATACCTCCTTAATGAGCATGCTAATAGAATGGACTAAATCCTGTATCACATGAAGCTTATAAAGTCAGTGACACCCTGAATTAGGGGTGAAAGTCAGATACCCTACTTGAAGAATTTACACTGCACTGGACCCAGGCCCTCAGGCTAGACCCATTCAAAATTTAAAAAATTCTCAGCCCGAGCCCATTCAAGTTGCAATCCTAATCTGAATGGAAACTTTCTGGATTTTCATGTAAGATAACAACTTGCTATTTGCCAATTTTTTGTTCTGAACTTCTATGACTTTATAATATTAGTTAAGAGATGGATTACAAACTAGCATATCTTAGTTAACCAATAGTTCTAACAAAGATCATACATTCCTAAGTTGCTGTTGTATCATTTATTTTAGAATTTCTTGCAACAATTAATTGCTTAGGCCTATAAAATAAAACCATATCCAACTCCAGCCCAACATTGGGTAATGACCTTATATATTTCTGCAAAGCTGTGCACTACACTCCTGAAATGTGACACTTGTGAGTGACTGCTAATGAAAAATTTAAATCAGATAGAGTAGTTCAATAGCATAAAGACCTAAAATAAATTGCATTAGTTTGGAAGCTTTGTTTTTCTTGTTCTTGACTTTAGATGCAAATTGTCTGATATAGGCCTCAGAAAAGTAACATTTCATACCTTGCTGATGATGATGAAGACACTGAAGAAGAGGCAGATGAGGTGGTCCCAGATGGTGTGGAAGAGGTAGAACTTGCAAAAATAGAACTTGAACAAAAAGAACGAGAGCGGAACTTGTTGTTTGATGATATTAGGAGATTGTCTGCTTGTAGTGATGCATCTGGGAATACAGGCTTTTCTCCAGAAAAGGAAGAAAATTTGTGGATGCTGACTTGTGGAAGATCCACACTGGTAATAGTTTCACTTTAATTAATAAAACTTTTAACTGTTACCTGTAAAAAAAGTTCAGCTTTATGAAATACCTAGATATGGAAAGGTCCACAATTATCTAGTTTGGATTCTTCTATTATTCTTACAGATATTTGTTTCTCATAGTGTATATGTAGTAAATCTAAACATTAGACTTGAAGGTTGGTATTGATTTTTTTTATCAATAACAGAAATAATTTTATTAATGAAAAGAAGGAACAGATACAAGAGAAAGAGAAGAGGGGTAAACTCTCTAACCCTCCCCAAAATGAAATCAGGTTACAATACAACCCAAAATAAATTGTCCCTTCCCACCCTTCTTTTACAAGTACATCAGCAAAGGAATGAGCAATCCACTTCACCCATTGTAGTTTTATCTCCATGTCTTGAACTTCTTCTTCTCATTGGCAACTTTCCACATTCCATTCTCTTTTTGTAGCCAACAAATGACCAGATTTGAGCCACTTTCAACAATCAGTTCTTTTGCTCTTCTTACCCCTTCCATTAATTCCATATCTCAAGTCTAAATGAATCAGCCAAAGATAATGCAATAACATTTCCTTCATCATCCCTAAATACTCCACCAACACCAGATGGGCCTGGATTACCTTCACTACTCCCATCAAAATTCAACTTGATGAACTCAGCTTCTGGTGGGAACCAAAGTGGACCATTCAATATTTTGAGAGGGGCAGAATTGGTCACTTCCTTCCAGTTACTAACCAAAACATTGGCAAAAATACCCTCAAATAGATCCAAAGACTTCACCCAGTGAGTCACTCTAACAATAATGGTTTTAAGGATAGCTCCTTTACTTCTTTCCTTTCCAGGGAAAATTCATTGGCTCCGTTTGTTTACTGCTTTGCTAGAGAAGAAGAGCAAGAAGAGAAGAGTGTGCGGGTGCCTGGGTGGTAAAAGTGTTCTCAGCTGGCCCTAGAAGTTAATTTATATTAACATTTGAATATTACAACAAATGGACTAGGCTGCCCCTGATTAGTAATGGGACACCTAGGAAATAAAACAATAAAACCAGTTCAGGCCCAATAACTAAAGGCCCATAACAGTGTCGAGAGCTGAAATGTAATTAAGACAAATAGGCCCATTAACATACAGCCACTTGTTACAACACTCCCCCTCAAGCTAAGCATAGATGTCAGTCATGTTTAGCTTGACATGTAAACCAAAGAACTTCATTGAGACAGGCATTTTGTCAAAACATCAGCAATATGCATCTCTGAGGGTGTGTAAGGAATGAAAAGCTTGCCTAAGACAATTCTTTCTCTCAGAAAATGTTGATCAATCTCAATGTTTTTAGTCCTATCATGCTGTACAGGGTTATTTGCAATTTTGATTGTAGCCTAGTTCTCACAGTACAACTTGATAGGACCATCAATATTCATTCCCAGCTCACCTAGAAGATTTCTAATCCACAATAGTTCTACAACACCATGGGCCATAGCCTAATATTCAGCTTCTGCACTGGATCTTGCAACCCCATTTTGCTTTCTACTTCTACAAGTAACCAGGTTCCCCTCAACAAATGTGCAATATCTGGAAGTAGATTTCCTATCTCCAATCAATCCAACCCAATCTACATCAATATATGCTTCTATCTCAAGTTTATTATGCCTCTTGAACAGGCTTCCCTTCGTTGACAGGTCTTCAAATACCTAAGGATCCTTTTAATTGCTTTCATGTGGGGAATCTTGGGAGCATGCATAAACTAGCTCACAACATGTACCGCATAAGCTATATTAAGCCGAGTAAAAGGTAGATATGTCAATTTTTCCACTAGCTTTTGATGCCTTTCTTGTCAAAATAGTCCTTGAAGAAAACTGAAGAGAGGAGAGCTGAGAGTTCAGCAATGAGGGTCTGAGAAGAGAGTTTCGAACTTACTCTCTCTCAGCACCCTAACACTATTTTATTTAGATATATTTGAATAATTACAAGGAGGCCCTTAGTTGGGCAAGAGTTTACAAAGAACTTAATATTGATGGGATGGGCCCAGAATAAGGCCCATTACAGAAAAGAAACATAAAAAACAAGAAAGAATAAACAACCTATGGGCCATTCGGCCCATCTTCTCTACACTCCCCCTCAAGCTGAGCATAGATGTCAATCATGCCAAGCTTGTTGGTATCATGCTGAAGTTTTGCCTTG